GAAACGTAGTTGTAGCGAAGACCAAAAATCTCGTACAAATACGATATTCGAACTTTCAAGTTTTCAAACTTACTTTGGTCTAAATCTTGTACAAAAATGTACTAAAATAGAAACGTAGTTGTAGCGAAGACCAAAAATCTCGTACAAATACGATATTCGAATACCCGTCGTAAATGGGATTGTTGGTAATGAGATTAATGATCTTATTGCTAGCATGTACCATGTCAGGTTGACCTCCATTGTGATTTTTTCTTAGTGGATTTGTCACTATGCGGTAACCTGGCCTCATGCTCATCTTATCATCCTCTGGTGCCCCACCAGCGTAAACCGTTAGCGTAGGAGGGTGCACCATTCCATTATCATCCATTAAAAATATATATAATATAAGTACGAAGTAGCAGGATTTTTACAGGTATGGTCACTCTATTCTCCCAAACTTGAAATTAAAAATGTATCTGTATTATTGTAAACATGTATAACATTTATTTGGAAAGAATACGAGCTGAGTTTCTTGTCAGTTCTTCTCATCTCGAAATCATTCCGAACTGACGGTAGATTTGACATATCATAAGAGTGATCATAAGACTTACATGAATAAACAAATTTTGAATAAAAACCATGATGTGACCAGTTTTGACGCTATATATAAAATAAATAATAAGTTAATGAAATAATAAGTTCGCAAATACGTTAATATATGAATATTATATATGATATTTTGAATTGAATTGAAAAATTGGCAACCCTGGTAGGGAGTGTATTGAATGCGCGAGCGCACGCGTGGGCAGGCAATTGTATTGTGACTCACAGTCCAGATTGATAGACTGATGCTCCTGTTTGTAAGTTGATCTAAGATACCGCTAAGATATCTACTACGACTGTTTTATTTCGTAAATTAATTTGTATGAGATCATACATGCGTACCTACATCGTAGAGTTATAGAGACACGGTAGAAGCGGAAAGTACCTTTATTACTAGCCCCGGCTTGGCCCGGGTGTACATTGTATATGTGTGTTATATATATAAACCTTCCTCTAGAATAACTTCATATATTTAAAAAAAACCGCCTCAAAATCCGTTGCACAGTTTAAAAGATTTAAGCATACATAGGGACGGACAGACAGCGACAGCGACTTCATTTTATACTATGTAATGGTAATGATGATTATTTTAGTTATAAAAGATTTTGGGTACATATATGATGTTATTGTAAACATGGCCATTACAAAATTTGGTTGTGTTAAGCGTATAAATCTTTAAGTTAATTAATATGTTAAATATCCTACGATTTATATATCTATACTCTATACATATATATAAAATTGGAGTGTCTGTTTATAATATTGAAATAACTGTTTTTTACTACATGCATATGAATAGAAATACGGTACATACACCAAAATAATATTTTTTACAATTTTTGTCTGTCTGTTTGTTCCGGCTAATCTCTGAACTCTAAATATCTAATATATCCTTCGGTATCTTATTGTAATTTTTTATGCCCATTCCCATAATATGTACACTTATAAACATATGTTTATTACTTGCGCCACCTATCTTTTTTTATCTTTATTTCTCTATCCACACAAAGGTAGTGTGGAAGAGATTGCTTAACAATAAGACTGCCTCTTGTATCACTTAATGTATATCTTAATATTTTAACTACTTTCTGTATTTGGTGCAATAAAGAGTATAAATCTTAAATATAAAATTCTCGTGTCACAATGTTAGTTACCATACTCCTCCGAAACGGCTTGACTGATTTTAATGAAATTTCATATGCACGTTCAGTAGGTCTGAGAATCGGCTACTATCTATTTTTCATACCCCTAAGTGGTAAGGGTTGTCCACACCTAACGTTTTTTTTAGTATTTGTCTATATATTTTTTTTTTATAAAGTCATTATAATACATACATTCCTAAATTTTCACCTTTCTACCATCAACCCCTATTTTTTAATAGCGATTTTGATTTATATACCAAAAAAACTTTTCGGGGTCAGCTATTAAATAAATAATAATATTATGAATATGGTAATGTTATGTATATAGTAATAGTGTATGCCGTAGAGTAGGAGAGCGGGTGGGTCGTCGCCCCTCGTTATCGTTTCGGCATACATTCCTTGACCCCCGGCCTGCCGCGCGGCCGCCACTATCTGCACCTACAACAATTATACTCTGATTTGTCATAATTCAGTCTGATATTTTAAACTACGATCGATTTATCTATTTATGATAAAAAGTGCTCTCTATATAATTAATATTATAAATGCGAGAGTTTGTAACTATGGATGTTTGTCACTCTTTCGTAGAAAAACGGATTTTTATGAAACTTTGCAGCTATATTAGCTTATGCATCAAAATAACACAGATTGTATTTTTTTATTATAATTTAAAGCAGATGAAACTGCGGGCATAGCTAGTTTATAATAATAACCCTGTATAATATACACAGCGTTGTGTAGTCCCAAATTGTGTAGAGTTTTTGGTATGAATGACAACTGAATCTTTGGCAAGGCAATGAATTATTGGTTCAACAATCTGATTTTACATGGATATTTTATATGTATACCTATATTATATGTATAACATGGATGTTTATATTTATATGTATATATACCTATATGTTACAACTTCTTGTAATTAGTGAAACTGTTAAGAAAGTTTACATTTTTACATTTTATTTTTGTAATAATAAAATGTAGTTCATATTACGCAATAATGTAATAGGCAGAGCGATTTTTCGAGTTTATCCGTTATATAAAAAAAAATATCTGTCGTCTATAGTTTATGGAAATGTAGAAAGAAGTAAATGTTATCAAATAAAATTAAAGTATCATTGAACAATAATTTTATATGGTTTTAATACAACAATATTGTCATCAGTGTGCATTACCAGATTTCTTATCTAAAACTACACAAATATAAAAATAATATAGACGTATAAACAGACGTATAAATACCGGTGGAACTTGGGTAACGAAAGATAATTTGTTCACGTGACGTTTTTGGTATTATTGATATTAACTATTAAAAGTTTTTTATCCTTAATTTTTTTTTTAAATAACTATTCTAGTATTAATATCTAGGGATATTATGTAGGATATATTTGGAGTCATCGGTAATCAATCTAATTCAACATTTAAATGTATAAATATAAATTAATGAAATACGGAATAAATAAATCGTGTATTCCTTACACTGAAACTTAATGATTATAAATAATTAAGTAATAATGTATTGTTATAATAGATTGTAATTATCAAACATCTGAATGAATAAATTGATTTGTGTGTAAAAAGTTGTATCCTAATTAATTAACTGGGTCAGCTTTGTTGTTGTGTTTAGAGTGGCCTCGTAGGTACAAGACTTATGCACAACTCGGCAGATAACAATGTTATCCACTCTAAAATTTGTTATAATAAAGTAAAAATCTTTAGTAAAGATAACATTAGATTAATAATGTGACGGCCTCGGCGGTCTAGTGGTTTAACACATTGTCTTACTTCCGATGGTCGCCTATTCGATTCCTCATATACATTTTTTCGTGTTTGTTCGTTGCTCAATTAGGTGTATTTTATTAATAATACTGCAGATATATGACTCTTTTATTGTATATGATTATATTTATTGTATTTAACATGACAACCCTTTGTAAAACGATTCGACTCGACACACCGACAGACCATAGACTAAGTAATTAATCATAAACATAGACAATGTATTTTTATGGCTCTGAATACACAACACATTTAAATATTGCATTAAAATCCGTTGCGTAATTTAAAAGCTATAAGTGTACAGACAGTGGAAATGACTTTGTTTATACTATGTAAAAATTGGGTCGTTTTATATATAATCTCTACAATAAAGTATTACTAATAACAATAATATCTTAGGACACCTCACACAGCGCCATCTAGTCCCAAGTTAACCAGAGCTTGTGTTATAGGTACTAGATAACTGATACAAATATATTGATTAATTTTTTTTGTAAATGCGTACATATTATAAAACACCCAACGGATACAAAATCATACTAATAATTAATGTATCTTACGAGGATTCGAGCCCGCGACCATTGGAAGTAAAGCGGTATGTAGAGCCGCTGGCCCACAGAGGCGTTCTTTTTAATGAGGGTTTTAGGCTTTTGTCAATTGTTAAGACCTGTAGCACTGCGACCTATATAGATCTATTGTGCTGGTCCTTTTTTCAGAGTTCGCTACTTAGACCCGTCAGGGACCAGACTTGTAGGATATTCTTAGGAGTGATGGTATTTATCTCCTCGGCGTATAGTGTATACTTTCCAAAGGAGATATTTCGTTTATGTATGAGTGGGCTACAACCACATTGGATGTGTAGTGGCATTTCCTCTTCTGCATGACCGAGTCTGGTACGAAGCTGGCCTTTACAGCTTCACCGGACGATAGGTGGCTAGTGCAGATGGCACTCCAAACCTGCGAAAGGACTTATGGAGCGGCTGAAGGCCAACTCCCGCCTGACGGATACGACTTTAGTCTGAGAATACTGCTAGGGGTAAACCTCGGCTCAGGCTTTAGTAATTTCGATTCCCGTTTGAATTCAAATTCAAAATATCTTTATGAATGTAGGTCTATTACAGACTCTTATGATATGTCAATTCTCCCATCAGGTCGGAATGATTTCCAGATGAGAACCACTCACAAAAAACTCAGCTCGTATTCTTTTCAAATGAATATTGTACATGTTTACAATAATACAGTCTTTAAAATTTGGGAAAATAGAGTTACCACCAGCATATGCTATTGCACAAAACAAAATCTAGTCAGTGTTCGTAACCAGAACAGACCAGTAGACCGTAGACCCCACAAGCAGCACCCGTTCACGAGTAGAGTATATGAGGATCAAACTTTGTACAAAATGTATACGTGTATGAAGCAGCCCCCGATCACGAGTATGACGGATCTATCGGAGGAGACCAAATTTTGTACAAAGTGTATATGTGTATGATATGGTTGCAGGGTGATGGTGCCAAGATGACATGGCTGTGGTTGTTGGCGGCAGTGGTGGTGAGCGTGTGCGCGGAGCCCTACCAGTCTAGCTCGAGGCCGCCGCGCACCAGGCACTTCAACCGCGGACACCGCAGCCGCGACTACCCGACCCCCTCACAGTTCGTCGGGTAAGGATTGCCTTACATCAGGATTGCCTTACCTTACATCTACACATCTATATACAGGATGTTTGGAAGATGATAAGGCTTGTTAGTATAGACCACTTAGAACCGTATTTGACCATGCTTAGCCTTCGTGACGTACGATTTAATTTATTACCGAATTTTTACAATTTTTGTTGCAAAAACACAATTTTTTTTGTAATTAATTGCAAATAGTGGTCAATCTCGAAGATTAGTGGGTTATTTTTTATTTTATTTGAATTAAGTAATGTGTAAACAACCAAATAAGACTTGATGTACATAACAAGGCGTTAAAGCTTTGCACCCATCTTCCAAACATCCTGTATATTTTACTAGCGGCCCCAGCCACGCACTGCTGTGGCTAAAGTTCTTGAATAAAATAATATTGCGACTATGAATTGAGATGTAACCTCCTATTCTCCTATTTTTCAAGTTGAATTAAATTGCACACAATGTCCAAATCAAATTTGCAATCGGTTCAATAGTTTAGGAGTCCTTCGGGGACAAACAACGTGACACGTGATTTTATATATATATACTAGCTAACCCCGCAAAAGTTTTTGTGCCATATAAATTAAAATCGCTATTAACAAATAACAAAAACGACAAAAATGAGGCGCAGACGATGTTACGCGGGTCAGTTAGTAATATAGAAAGAACGTATGTACAGAATAATTACGTATTCAGCTAGTACTAGGTTCGAATCTCGCACAGTGCAGGATGCGCGCACGTGAGTGTCCTGCGCGCGCGCATCATCTGTATCAACATCACAACGAATTCATCACACGTCCGTAACAATGCGCCGGCTACTAAACTGACCAACATTGCTCGCATTCTTCCATTAACTTGTTGACATATAAGGCGTACTTTCCTCGCGTATTTTGTCCCTTTGTAAGTTGATAACTTCTGGTTCCAAACTATGGTTTTAGGTTTTTTTAAAAGGATGATAATGGGTCACCTGCCTGCGCTAACGGTTTACGCTGGCGGGGCAACATTGGAGGATGATAAAATGAGCATAAGTCAGGTCAGTTAGCCCATGACAAATCACCAGTAATTTATCATGATGGTTTCCAGGGAAAATCGCGTGGTGGTTATGGTTCTGGATTAAATTTAACGACTTTTAGTTTTACTAGAATTGTCGAATTATTAGAATAGGATAGAAAAACAAATTCAAATAAACTTAATTTAAGCACTTTTGAATAGTCAACATTTTTTTAAATCTACCGCTTATTCGCAAAGTTGTCTCATCATAAGAAGAATAAGCAAGAAACTTGTGTGTTGCTCTTTTAAATAATCCTTGTAAGTTCACATTTTACAAGTCGAAACGTGTGAATACAACCAGCACTAATTTATTTAGGCTCAAATATAAAAACACAATAAGATTAAATCAGTCGTAGTGATAAGAGCGGACCAGTCCCTACAAGCAGCACTCGTTCACGAGCATGACGGATGAGCCAGCCATCACTGCGCTCGATCATATTTTAGGGAGCCCAATAACCCGGCCCACTACGCCGCCACATGTCTGAACATTTTAGTGAGCATGACTACTCATTCCACTCGACCACGTCACAGCTACAAAATTTGTAGTGTACGACCAACAAATAATTGTCTTTTCTTAACTGCATTTACTTAGAGGATTTGCGGCTTTGGATGGACTGTAAATTTAAATGATTTGGCACTATATTTGCTATTCTACATTTCTCACTAATGGAAGAAACAAAGGTCTGTTAGCCCATTAGTAAAGTTACAAGCGGATGTTTGTAGTATGTGCTCTTTCTTTGATGCATGCCGCGTTTGTATATGAACTGCACCAGCGTCTTATTTTATGAATCCATTGGATTTACCCATAATGCTATTCGTCTATCATTGTCCCAAATTAACTGTTATTCCGCGGTAATATTCGCATGAATTGTGGGTACAATTTCCACTTGGTACTTGAAATTTGGCCCTTGTTCCGGGCTAGCGATCATGCATATGTTTGGAGTTTGGGATATATTTTTATATAATATTTTTTTTTATGAGTTTGGTCTAGGTGTTATAACCCTATAGCACAGTCTTTTATAATCTCTACTACAGCATTGGGATGCCCATATTTGGGATCGACAAAGTTACCAAGTAAATGCTTGAATAATTTAGATCTTGGATTACAATGAATTGGTTCGTTTCAATCTTAGATGTCTGGTTGTTTCCATCTCATTAGGTAATCACGATGGTTTCTTGAGACGCATGAATGTAGTCCTAACAGGGTATATCATTAATACTGATATCTGGGTCTCGGATCCCGTCCCCATTTCTTTATACTAATATATAAATGCGAAAGTTTGTGAGTATGGATGGATGTTTGTTACTCTTTCACGCAAACACTACTGAACGGATTTTGATGAAACTTTACAGTAACATAGCTTATACGTCTACGTAAGCTAATTACAATAAATTTCTTTATATGTATATAAACGCACATGTACCAAGCCTAAGTACCTATTTGGATAGATCTTTCTATCCAAATAGGTACTTTTGGCTTGGTAGAAAGAAAGAAAGAAAAATATTTTATTCAGTGCAATGTAAAAAATACAATATAAACAACAAACGGAAAAAAAAGAGCAAATAAAATGTACATATAATTAAACTTAATTTACCATAGTGTGTTCTATACATTTTACGTCATACTCTACAGCTACGTTCCCCCAAATTTATCTTATAACAGATACAATTTGTTATCTAAACTGACGGGGTCGAAGTTTATCTAAGTACAACACCTGATGTAATTATATTTAGTCGTCGCTAAACTGAAGTTCAGCGACCGTCTTATCGGAAGTGATTTGTAGTGTTCCGAATTAAAATGATCTACTTTTTCCGTCCCAAAGATATTTTGCTGAAACTACGTTTTTTTAATTGATGATAATGGAATGGCGCACCCGGCTTCGTTAACGGTTTACGCTGACGGGGCACCAGTGCAGGATGATAAGATGAATATGAGGTCAGGTTATGACAAATCCACCAGGAATTTATGACGATGATTTCCACATTACATTGCTAGCAATGGGGTTTATTAGCCCCCATTACTAACCATCCCCTTCCCACAGCTGAAACTATTGACACGCTCGGTTTGAATAGAATAGAAAATATTATTTATTCAAATAAACTTAAATTTATGTCACATATAAGATAATATTGTATACAGAAACCTCACCTTATACAAGAAAATGGTTCCTTTCTAACTCGGATTATTCTTTGGGCTGCTTTAGTTCTTCGACAGCCACTTTGATGGTTTTTTTATTTTATGGCCTCGGTAGTCTAGCGGTTTAGTATACTGCTTTACTTCCGATGGTCGCGGGTTCGATTCCTTGCACGGTGCAAACATTTGTATTCATGAGTATGATTATATGTATCGGACTAAGTGTTTTCTATGTATATCCAAAAAAGTATTTATATCAATTGTTTAGTCGCTCTGCTTATCGTGACACTAGGTGGCGCTGTGTTAATTGTCTATGGTTAATTTTTTTGTTTCATTTTTATTATTATTATTATGTATAGTTTACAGTTTAGAGTACTTCGGATATGTATCGTTTAGAGCATACGCTGTGACGTCACGTTACAATTCTGTATCGTACATTGACTTGTAGGCGTGTTTGCTGAAATTGTCGTTATTATACTAAATATAATACACAATTGGGTTGTACACATAATACACTTTCTTATGATTCATTTTATTACAATGCATTTAGTGTATTCAGAGCATTGAGGATAATCTTCATTGGTTTTTTTATTTTTTCTAATGAATTTGTAGTAATGAAATTTTGTTATATGTATTTCTTTTTGTTTGATTTTCTTGTTCTTTTTTATATTTTAATTCCAATTCAAATTTAAATTCAAAATATCTTTATTCATGTAGGTCTATTACAGACTCTTATGATATGTCAAATCTACCGTCATTTCGAGATAAGAAGAATGAACAAGAAACTAAGCTCGTATTATTTTCAAATAAATGTTGTACTAGTTTACAATAATACAGATTCATTTAAATTAAAATTTGGGAGAATGAAGTTACCACTCATGCATTGTGATATTTCTATTTATATGATGTAATAATAATTATTCTATTCTATTCTAAATATTGGGGTTTATATTCAAAGAATATTTAAATCTTAATCCTATTTCATAAAATACATAAAAGTAGATTATGTCATTACTTATAACATTAGCTATCTGCGAGTGAAAGTTCCGTCAAAATCGGTCGAACTGTTTCAGAGATTATGAGGAACAAACAATATTTAAAATTAATTGTTTTATTTATTATCTAACTAGAATAAAATTGATACAAATAGAATAAATGTAAAAATTGATCAACACAATGTTATACACATTTATCCCGCGCAAACGTAATGCACCACAGATGCACAATATTGCAAGGCGCACAGACGCAGTAGGATGACGTGCGCAACATGGCTGTATGCAGTATTAGCATGACAAAACTATATGTCAAAAATAAAGCAGATAACAGAAGAGATAACAATATAACACTGTTCTATTTCAAATAGACATTAAAAACATAAAATTGCAATGTCAATTACCATACTCTTCCGGAATGGCTTGACCGATTTTTATAAAATTGTATATGCATATTCAGTAGGTCTGAGAATCGGCTACTAACTATTTTTCATATTCTTAAGTGGAATAATGTAGGAATAAAAAAAATCTAGTTTTTTTATAAGAAATACATACAACCCTAAATTTTCACCCTTTTACCACCAACCTCTATTTTTTAATAGCGATTTTGAACAGTGAAAAGCTGTTAATTTGATATTACTCACAACAAACAAACACTTCAATTGATTTATATGTTACAATAATACGATACAGATATCTATCTATTGTAATCTTATAATAATACGAGTTTTGAAATCTATGTGGGCGAACACTACTCGGTTAATTTCACGCTTATAATTTCGGCTGCGGACAGTAGATAGGCATGCGGACCAGGGGGGTCGCGGGTTCAATAGGCCAAACGCTGGACAAGGCCACTGCATGGATGCAAGGAAATCATTTGCATGCCACTTATACTAATGCGATATGACGACCTACGCTGTCCACGGTTTGAGAATAATATCTTAGGTTCTGATGGTCGTGACTTCGAATTTCACAAAATACAAACATTTGTATTTGTGTCTGTTATTGTATTGTATTGGTCTAGGTTTTTATTTATGTGTGGCGAATTAACTATTATCAACCGGCAACACTGATCCCTAGTTACAACAGAATACTAAAATAACAGGCCTATCTTTCGAGATCAAATCACTTTCTTGTACACACATATATATCCACTAACTTTTGCCCGCGGCTTCGTTCGGGTTAATTTATCCCATTGGGGTTAGAATTAATAAAAATCCTTTCTTAGGGGATGTCTACGTCATAGTATCTTTATGCATGCAAAGTCTCAGCCCGATCGGTTTAAAATTGACAAAGTTTCATACAAACTTTCATCCCCTATTTTATCCCCTTGGGGGTAGAATGAATCAAAATCCTTTCTTAGCGGATGCCTACGTCATAACATCTACCTGCATGCCAAATTTCAGCCCGATCCATCCAGTGGTTTGGGCTGTGCGTTGATAGATCACTATGTCAGTCACCTTTGAGTTATATATATTTGGATTGTAAATACTTCTATATTATAAATATGTATATAGCTACTATCTGGACTCATCACTTCACCTCCTACTTTCCTGCTGCTGCTACAATACATGGAACACATTACAAACACAAATACTAGCGGCCTCAACATAGCCGCTAAATATGTTTAATATTTCTACGAGAAATTCTTATTCTGCCATAAGTTTCTTGCTTATTCTCCTTGTTCTGAGTCTGCATCGGAGGGAGTGGTAGAATAAAAAAATATAACTATTCAAAAGTGCTTGTACTGAGTTTATTTGAATAAAGTATTTCTACTTCATATCTCAGATTCAAATTTTACCTAAATGTCGTTTGGCTAAAGTTAGTAATTCGTTTTATGGCAATTGCGTAAGGTTTTACAATAAAATACCAGTCTGTTGTAAATCTGCCAGAAAAAAATTTTGAATGTCAAATAAAACAGTTCCTTTACAAAAAAGCTTACTATAAAATTGAAGAATTCGTTAACGATAATAATGTTTTTATAGAAAAACTTTAAATTCATAGCACTGACAATATTATCTGATTACACTAATGAGTGCGTAGCGATTTCTATGTTGATTATCGCATGCCTCTTACTTGTTATACTGTAATTATTTATATAAAAAAACATATATTAAAAAGAGCAACACACAAGTTTCTTGCTCATTCTTCTTGTGATGAATCTCAATCTGCATTCCGAATGAGTGGTAGAATCAAAATATGACTATTCAAAAGTGCTTGTAATGAGTTTATTTGAATAAAGATTATTTCTATTCTATTCAGAGGATTTAATTAACAGTGTAATGTCATTTGTGTAGAGTAAACTATGCATCAGGTCAGAGTTCATCTTGTATCACTGCGTCCTTAAGCTTAAAACTAACAGTTGCAGACCTTGTACTAGATTTGTATGCACTGAGCATGTCATAAATCTTCTTTATAATATCTTACATGTTGATTTAAATTGAAGTGTAAATGTTCAATGTAAAATTGGATTTGATTATCAACTACAATTTTTGGTTATATTCGGGAACTTGTCGTAACTTGCCTTTACAACTTCGTAGGACGAAAAAGTGCGAGAGCAGACGCTACTCTAAGCCCCCGGAAAGACTTATGACGCTAAATACCAACTGCTGCCTGACGGATACGACTTTAGTCTGAGGGCATTGCTAGGGATTCGAACCTCGGCACAATCCGTCGTAAATTCGATCCTCGTTTGAATTGGACGGGGGATTGATCGGAGAGGATATGATGTCCATGACGCTGTACATGTATATCAGCGATTCAAATTCAAATAAAAAAAAAAATATTTATTCATGTAGGTCCGTAACAGACACTTATGACAAGTCTAATTATAATCAATATATATTGTATATACGAGATAGTGTAACAATAACACTACTACTTAGAGAACATATTAATATAATAACTTATAGATCCAGGAACAAATCTTAGCCTAGTCTTACATCACAAAGACAATAAACAAAACAAATAAAATAAACAATAAATTAAATGCATGCAATTGGATTCTAATGTCTAACAGGATGCAATGGCAGGCTGTGCTTCATTGCATCCTGTTAGACATTAGAATCCAATATAATAATAAATAGTAATAAACATAATAAAATAAGCTTTTTAATCTTTTTACCCCATGATTATAATTAAATAAACAGATAATTAATATTTACAAGTCATTTATAACTATCAATTTCAATAAATTGTAATTATTATATTTTTGCTAACAAACAGAATTAATTCTAAAAGTCAGTAAATCTATTAATATATTTCTACATTTCCTAGGCATATGACATATATTCTTATTTAAATAAATGGTTAACATTCACCATCCGCGGAAGCACTTACGGAGTGGTTGAATACAAACTGATTCCTCTAACTGAGAGACTTAAGACAGAGTGCACTACTGGGATTAGAACCCCTAATCCCGTCACTGGAGTCGCGGTCGAATGCTAACGTGACCTTGCGACTTCGTCAATTGCGTGCGTAGGTACGACGTGTAGTTTTCTGTGGTTAATCCCACTCATCCCTCTGACACGGGGATGGTTTTTCAATGATTTTTCACACGATAAAAAAAAACTGAGTTCTGAGAATTTCGGTTTAAGCCCTCGTTGGATAGATTCCGTTCATTAGAAACCTCGAGATTACTACATATCCTAAACGAAAAAATCAATTTGCTTTATTTTTGTTTGAAAGACGTTAGAAATTGTTCTTAGCTACAATTGTAGCTATATATTATATGTTCCTGAATAAGAGAGACGCAAAAATTGTAGCTGTATACATTATTTTATAATTATACTAGCTGTCCCGGCAAACATTGTTTTGCCATAAAATAAAAAAAAATTTAGGGGTGGACTACCTCTAACATTTAGGGGGATGAAAAATAGATGTTGGCCGATTCTCAGACCTACTCAATACGCTCACAAAATTTCATGAGAATCGGTCAAGCCGTTTCGGAGGAGTATGGGAACGAAAACTGTGACACGAGAATTTTATATATAAGACTAGTAGCCCAGTGATCGAAATTCGATCATAATTAAATTAACATTCAATAAGACTATAGATGAAACCCACATGATGTGGGTTAAACCGCTGGTACAACTAGATTTCTATATATTAAAACGTGAAGCGAAAACTTTGTACCCTGTTTTAATAAACTGAGCAGGCGAACCGAAAATTGAGCAGGCGGAGGAGTAAATTTAACTAATGTGTTAAATTTAATAGTTTATATAGAAAAGAGGTGCAGAATGCTCATTTTTTTTTTAAATTATGAACTAAAATACACACGTAAAATAAATAAAGTATTATGAATATCTATTTTTAATTCGACTACATATTTTAAGAATAGACAAAAGAGTATCTATATACGCGTGTGTGTGTTAAAAACATGGTCGTGAGCGTAATGATTGTTGTATTGATTTAATGTATTTTAGCGCATAATTAAAAAAAAAATTAGTATCCTGCGCTTCTCTATATACACTATTCGTGTGTTAAATTTCATGTTAAATTTCCTCCGCTTGCTCAATTTTCGGTTCGCCTGCTGAGTTTATTAAAACCGGGTACAAAGTTTTCGCTTTTTTCGCTTCACGTTTTAATATATATATCTAGTTGTACCCGCGGTTTCATCCACATGAAATTTATAGCCTATATGTTATTTTGATGCATAAGCTATATTATTGTAAAGTTTCATCAGAATCCCTTCAGTAGTTTTTGCCTGAAAGAGTAACAAACATCCATACTTCAAATTTTATAATATTAAATAAAATATTAATAAGGTGTTTGTAATATTTGTTACAGGCCAAACGTTTGTCGAACCCGAAACGGCACGCATTGCTGTCCTGGGTGGACCTCCAGACCCAACTCGCTACTATGCGTAGTTCGTGAGTATTTTTTTTGTATCTCGTCTCGGCGTTGTACGAGTGTAATTTCTATAAGGTTAAGAAACAAATTTTTAGGTACATCGTTTACATTTTTGCCATGAATAATTATACAGGTACAATTTTTTTTTCGGGCTACTCTAATGCTGTTGGCCGCAGCTGGCCATTACAGCTTCACCGGACGTTAGGGGGTGAGTGCAGATGGCACTCCAAACCCGCGGAAGGACTTATGGAGCGGCTAAAGGCCAACTCCTGCCTGACGGATACGACTTCAGTCTGAGGGCACCACTAGGGCGAACCCCTATTGGTACAGTAACCTCGGCTCAGGCCGTCATAACATCCATCGCCGTTTGAATTGGACGGGAGATCGATCGGAGGGGTGGTACAAAAATATTACAAATAACATATGAGAAATCAATAAAACGAAAAATTAGCGCGTTTCAATTTTGTTACAGCGCCATCTATTGGCGTTGAATGCAAACACTATTGTTTCACTGATTACAATCTATTTAAACCTTAACAGTAGTTGTATAGTGATATATTTTCTTTTAACCTGTTCAAGTGTTCATGAAACATATTTGTTTTCCATTCTGTTTTATTCTATTCTATTTTAACTTCTTTTCTGTTTTATCCAGCATTATGTCGTCCCGACTGCGGCTCGCCTGGTGGCTCGCCCGGCGCCTGTATAGGACCGAACATGTGCAGGTGTCCTGGTGGAGTGGAAGCCCCCAGCTGTAACCCCAATGGCTTATATTCGTACACGTGTAAGTATGTCTCTATAATAATACTGTTAAATGAAATTTTAACTTTGCACCTACTAAATAAAGACTTGTTTTCATTGAACTGTCACTGAAATCATTGTCACCCGTAACATAGATTATACTGAAAGACACTCATGACACGTAATAAAAACACTTCATTTAAATTTAAACCTTTGCTCCTTCTAATTAAAGACTGCTATTCATTATTACTTAAATCGATGTCATGTGTATCATTGATTGAACCAATCCGAAAGAGACTTATGATACGGAATAATTGTTCCAAAAATTCTAATTGAAAAATGCGAAACATTTTTTTTTGATTTCCATGCAAAAGGTCACGTGATCTATTGTTTTATACTACGACGGCAATGGTACGTGTATCTAGTGTGATATACATCAGGTGATATTGCGGTCAAACGCAGTCAAATCACTACATAGTATAAAAGTCGCTGTCGCTGTCTGGCCGTCCCTATGCATGCTTAAATCTTTAAAACTACGCAAGCCGGGGCGAGTAGCTATTTTGGATATAAAAAAATACTACGATGTTGGCAAACAGCAACAACAATGTGATCAATTTATTGTGACTAGCATAAACTATACGACTAGCTGTTACTTGTGACTTTGTCGGCATATTTGCATCTTCTATTTCATCCTAGATTATTATTTGATCCGTCCTCCCGATACGAATTAACTTCACGTTAAATTATTAATTAAAGTTCGGGCTTTTAGTCATGAGTAACATTTTTTTTTATTTTCCTGATAAATAAACATTATTTATATAGTTAACTGACGGCGGTGGTCTAGCGGTTTAGCCCACCGCTTTACTTCTGTGGGGTACACAATTAAAAGATCTTCGATTTTCAAAATATGTGGACTGTATTTCAATTTGTTTCTTATTCTATGGGTCGGCCGGCCGGAGTGGGGTTTTCTTGGTCGTTGCGCCGGCGGTGGTTCTTCGTCGGTGGCGTATGCGTAAGAGAGCGCGATCGAGAACCAACCCGCCTTTACGGGCGCCCGAGCGCGTCCTTCCCCACCCCCGCCGAGCCGTGCGCGTCGGCCGTCCCACCCTCCCGACAATTCCTGCACATGTCGGTGACCGACGGGCCGGAACAGCGAATACGCACACATTTAAAATTAAATACAATAGTAACAACACAAAAAACCACAAAAAACCACGTGCGACTAAATGCCACATGTTCAGGCTACACTAAAGCTGTGATCCCTAAGAATTTACACAATGGGCGGACATAGAATTCACAGTATCTATGCCGCTACAAAGGGTATATGGTACAAACAATAGTCTAACCTAAACAATAGTCAAAACACTGGAAAAATACAAATTTATACACAAATTTATTTACATATTTTCGATGCCGACTCGTGGTCCGCAACAGCCTCCCCCGGCGCAGATCTTCGCAGCCCTTATCCCTAGGGAGGACCACTAGCCTTCGGGTCGGCCTTCGAAAAATTCCCCCTCGCGTCCTCACGTCCGCACTTCGCACCACGCCGTCGGGCCCCTCATAGGTGCGCTCCACTTGCCCGCGCGGCCACAGATTGCGAGGTAGCAGGCCGTCCACTATTAAAACCATGTCGCCCGGCTTGATGTTTGCCGTGCTCCGTCGTACGTCGTCTCTGGGCGTCAGCGTCCGTAGGTATTCTCGTAACCACCGCTGCCAGAATCTATCCGCGAGCGCCTGTGCTGCGCGCCACGTTCTGCGGTCGGCAACGTCGGTGGTACCTACGTACGGTAGGCCGACGGCTGAGCCCATCAGAAAATGGTTGGGGTCAGCGCCTCTTCGTCCTCGGGTCGCACTGAGACGTGGGTTAAGGGGCGTGAATTGACGGTGTGTTCTGCTTCCGTCATTAGCGTTGCGAGCACCTCTTCTCTCGGCGCCCGCTCGTGCAGTACCACTGCTAGCGCTCTCTTCACGCTCCTTATCAGTCGCTCCCACGCTCCTCCTTGGTTCGGTGCGCCCGGGTCGCTGTACCGCCAGTTTATCCTCTTGTTGCTGACGTACTTTTCCAGTTCAGGGAGCCATTCCTTAAACGCAGTCGTAAGCTCCACGTCGGCTCCGCGAAAGTTCGTTCCGTTGTCCGACATAAAGGTTCGTGGCCAGCCGCGACGCGCTGCCATGCGTCGTATCGCCATTATAGCAGAGTCGGTCGATAACCCCGCTATGAGTTCTATATGCACGGCCCGGGTGACCATACACGTGAATAGGAGCCCCCATCGCTTCTCTCGCCTGCGACCTATCGTCACCCACATAGGCCCGAAACAATCCATACCGCATCTTGTAAACGGCCGGGCGTATGCGTCGAGTCGCTCCTTTGGCAAGTTCCCTTTCACTGGGACGTCGGGGTTCCTCCGGCGTACGGCGCATGTTGTGCATTTGCGTAATACGGTCTTGACGGTCGGCCTTAAACGCAGCATCCACACGTATTGGCGCAGGGTGTTCACCGTCTGTTCTCTGCCGGCATGATGATGTAGCTCGTGTTCTCTCTTAATCATCATCTGCGCCAACGGGTGCGCTCCGTCCAGTATGGGTGGATTCTTCATTTCTAGCGGCACCTGTGCTGCGTTTATACGTCCGTTCAAGCGTATTATGCCATCCTTGTAAACGGGATCCAGGCGGAACAGACGACTTGTCCTGTCTACGGTCTTTCCTTCGCGTAGACACCGCGTTTCCTTCGGGAAACTGTCCTGTTGCGCCTGCCGTATTATTAGTTGCTCCGCTTTGGCGAAATGCTCTGTGCCTAGCTTCTGTGCCCGTCGCCTGCATTTATCTGCGAACAGTAGCACTTGCGCCATGGTCCTCCTCACTCGGTCATATGAAGAGAACCGTGCAATGTCGATCACGGGTTCTGTCTCCTCCCGGACGTGTGCTACCATCTCTGCTGGGACGGGCTCGCTCTCATGAGGCCATTCTTGCTCCGGAGCGTACAGAAATGCCGGCCCGACAAACCATCTGTCGGCAGCGGTCATTTGTGTGTATCCCGCGCGGGTCGCGTCGTCGGCTACGTTGTGGGCAGTCGGTACCCAGCGCCACTGTGTCGGTTTCGTCAGTTCGGCGATTTCTGCCAAACGATGAGCCACGTATGGAGTATATCTGACGGTGTCGTTCCTTATCCAGTGTAGCACCGTTTTCGAGTCCGTCCATAGGAAGACTTCGGCCTCGCGACTATGTTCTTTCAATATGTCAGCGGCCAGTCGGGCTCCTATCAGGCTCGCCTGAAGCTCCATCCGGGGTATACTCTGCGCTTTCATGGGCGCTACCCTCGCTTTGGCTGCTACCAGGACGACGTTAACGCTACGATCCTCGCGTTCCGTCCTCCAATACGCGGCTGTGGCATATGCCTGTTCGCTTGCGTCCGTGAATACGTGCAGTTGCGACCGTTGGCTGTCGTTCGTGCCATACCATCGCGGCAATCTCAGTTCCTCTATATAGGCTAAGTCATCTCTCCATTCCTGGAACATCCGCGCTTCCTCGGCGGGCAGAGAGTCATCCCATTCGACCTTCTGCACCCACAGCGCCTGCAAGATGATTTTTGCTGTGATGGTGTAAGGGCTCAGCAGCCCGAGCGGGTCGAACAATGACATCACCGCTCCTAAGGCTTCCCTTTTCGTCGGTATCCGCGTGCCGTGCTTCACTTCTCGTGGGACGCGTGGCATGCCGGTGTTGAACGCCAGCTGGTCTTCGGCTGACATCCACAATAACCCCAATGTCTTTCCGTATGGATGTGCGTTGGCTCCCAGTTCCTTCGGCGTCCTCGCTCGCTGGTCCTCACTCACATTCTCTAGCAGGCTCGGTCGGTTTGTATTCCAACCCGCCAGCGTGAATCCTATCCCGCCATGAACCTCTACTACCTCTCGTATGGCGCGGGCTGCTTCCTCTTCGGAGTCAAAGCTATCGACCCAGTCGTCCATGTAGTGGTTCCTTGTTATGGCGGTGTACGCTGACGGGTGCGACTCTCGGTGCTCTGCCGCGTTCCTGTCTCGAACGCTGTGTGCGATGAACGGTGAGCTCCTCGCCCCGAAAATCATTGAGGTCATTACGTATTTCTGCGGCGGGTTAATCCTGTCATCTCCTCGCCACAGAAACTGTTGTGCTGCTCTATCTTCTTCCCGTATCTTAATCTGCAGGAACATCTCTCGTATGTCCGCCGTGATAGCTACGGGCTTCTCGCGGAAACGGTATAACACACCGTTAAGCGACCGTAGCATATCTGGCCCATCCAGCAGTACGTCGTTCAAGCACATTCCCTTCGAACGGGCCGCGGCGTCGAATACGAGTCGCAGCTTTCCGGGTTTATTCGGATTCGTCACTCCGAAATGGGGAAGGTACCACGCGCGGTCGTTGTTGAACCGGTCGTCGGTTACTTTCTCGGCGTAACCCTTGTCCAACAACTTGTTTATCTCCGCGGTATACGCCAGCCGGAATTCCGTAGAGCGATCCATCCGCCGCTCTATTCCCCTCAGTCGGCTCGCTGCCATGTCGTAGCTGGGAGGTAGAGCGACGTTATCTCTCTCCCACGGCAATCCTACGACGTATCGCCCATCCACTCTCGTCGCTGTGCGGTTGAATGTGGCGACGGCGCGCTCCTCCTTGGCAATGGGTAATCTCTTCGACGATATACCCAACGCGTCGATGTCGTAATGCGCTTTTATTATGCCCTCTATATGCCGCATGTCTGGCTCGGCGTTGCGCTGTGTCAACCGCACGTGGAGGACATGTTCCTCGTCTTCCACGACACTTCTGGGTACCGTTCCGTGGATGACCCATCCCAGTCGTGTCAGCGACGCTGCGGGTTGATTGTGCCTTCCTGTGAGCAGCTTCCGCGTAACAATCAGATGCCAGTTGTCTGACCCGATCAAGACCTTGGGTCTGGCATCTTCGTAGCACACTTGCTCGCAAGTGAGTTGTCGCAGGTGTCCGTACGCGAGTATTTCCGGGTTCACTCGCTGCGTTCCTAGGGTGAGATCCCGGATCGTACGCGCCCTCACCGAGTGTTCTTCGTCCGTATGGTGTCGCCCTCTGATGATGACATCAGCCACTCGGCTTGAGGCTTCGTGCCAGCTCGAGGCCGCTCCCTG